CTAGTTAGGTTGCAGGTATGGCGGCTAGTGTAGAACCCAGGCAGACTACTTAAATTAGGTACCAAAAGTACACGTGTAGCTAGTTGTATCCTCATGAAAATTGATGTAATATTGTATTTATCTGAATAAAGCCAAGTGCCGGGGGCCTAAGTGGTTACCTTAATATTAAAAAAAAAAAAAATTTATATACTAGGATTTGCTTTCTTATAAAATAGGAGTAAATGATGAAATGCTATAACAAAAATTTCGTCCTACTTTTGCATCATTAATTCGAGATTTTGATATTTTTGTTAAATGCAATAGGTGCTTATCTTTTCCAATAAAATATCCTGTCAGTTTATATTCTATTTGCGGATTTTGGGCCAAATATGATATGAATATTTATATACCAATTCAAACCGATAATGATATATCCTTGGCCAAATCTTCAGATACAGATATCTTAGAGACGGCACTTAAAAATATTTTTAATTTGTCAGAATATCGAGAATATCAAGGAGAAAGTATTGAATCTTTTATTAATGGGCATAATACACTTATGATTTTAAAAACTGGAGGTAGAAAAACATTAATATATGCTTTTGCATCTCTTTTATTCAAAGGATTAACCATTGTTTTTACACCACTAAAGTTTTTAATGGATGATTAACTAACAAGTATATATAACATTATAATTAAAATACACTATAGCATATTTGATATTACTTTAGAATTTATTTGATGTCTACTAAAAAAAAAAATTCTAAAACATAACCATTATACTATAATATATTATAATTGACAATGCTTTATATATAAATACAAACTTTAAAATTAAATACTCAAATAACATATATAGCATGAATTAATATCTATAGGTATTCCTGCTGCAGCCTTTTATACTTCATCTGAACAACCTCCTGAACTACAAGAAAAAATTTTTGGAGAATTAGCTTCAGGATTAACAAAAATATTATTAATTACACCTAAGAAATATATATTGAATATGAAATTTAGAAACATGTTAAAAAAAATCAATTATTTGAGAGGATTACAATTTGTCATTGACAAAGCACACTGCATCAAAGAATATGAATATTTTAGGTAAATATATACATATACTGTAATAACTATTAAAAAGTTAACTACTTACAATGGCTGTTAAATTGTTAGAAATTCCTGTGCTAAATTAAATGTAGTAAAAAGTGAATTTCTATCTGTTTCGACACTTTTTTTAACTGCAACATGCACCTTGGATACTGCAGAAAAATTACATGCTATTATAACACCTTCTGAATTACAAATTATTTGAAGTAACAAAATTTATAGGCCTGATCTTAAACTTGAAATAATTTCAAAACCACACGAAAAAGAAAAACTAATACAAGCTATCATTTTAGTTATTGACTCTATAACAAATAGTCAAATAATTATTTATTCAGCATCTATTCTAATTGTATTACAGTTGGTCAATCACTTATTAAACATTATGGGTCTCAGAATATAGGAATATATCATAGTAGTATGAAAAGTACAGATTGTGATATAACTTTAAAATTATGGAAAGATGGTGAAATTAGATTTATGTCTGCAACAAATACTTTTAGAATAGAAATTAATATATCAGACATAAGGGCTATAATACATACTATATTTCCAATGTCTCTTGATAGCTTTATTCAAGAAATAGGCCATGCAGGCCATGATGATAATGGTGAACGTAATATCATATTTTTTTCTCGAGCTGATCTTCATACTTTGACACTTATTCTCTATGGTGGGCATAAAAGGTATAAGTTTTGACAATTCAAATTACTAACCATAATGTAATTCAATTATTATTTACTATATCTCACATAGTATACAAGAAAACATTAAAATATCTCAAGAATTTGATGAATCATCCAGTTTGACAGAAATGATAGCTCCCACAAATTAGAAAAAGCATTTAAAAGAAAAAAGAAAACAATTATTAGAAATAGTACATTATTGTGAGAACAAACTTGAATATAGACAACAACTAGCATATCAAATTTTTACATGGCCTAAAGATCCTGATATTCCGGAGTGTTATAACTGTAATAATTGTTGCCGATGTAAAACCATTTCTACTGAATGGTGGAATGTTAGCAATGAGGTAAATTAGATAGTTAGAATCATAGATTAATTGATAAAAAGAGTTACCAGCCAAGATCCTAAGTTATTACGAATCTCAAGAGATGATATCGCTAATTGTTTTATGGGTTTAAAAGGAAAAAATGCAGTTAGTAAAGATCTAAGTTCTATAGAAGGTTATGGAGTCTCATCTGAAAGTTGTTCAATTTTCAACGAAGATTGCTTATATTTGATCGATTTATTGATCTTAGTAGAGATTATTACCAAAGAGGTTGATATCAAGTATTATAAAGAAGCAAAATCATTATCATATTCATCTAGTTTGGTAGGTTTAAAGGAGAATGCATTAAATTTTATATCTACTTTAGAATAAAAATTATTGATGAGGATAAGTAAAAAGCATAAAGTTACTTAGAATTATCATTATAAATTTTAATAAAGAAAACTGCTTTAAGATTATTGGCTACTATTTTTATCACAATAATAATCTGCAAAATCAATCCATTTATTTGGTTATTACTAATTTGAAAAAAAGACCCTGCCCTTAAGTAAAAGTATATAGCATATAATTCTCTTTGTGTAGCTCCCCATAGTTGTTTATTAGATTTGAGCATGTGTAATGCCAATTCAATTATTTCTTCTTCAGATTTGGTATAATCTTCATTGTCCTTTGTTTCATTTTCTCATGCTTCTATAGTTTTATAATATGCAAGTTTTGGATTTATTTGTTTGAGTACAGTGCCAATTCCTTTATCTGAGGTATCTGTTTCTATTATTAATTGATATTCTTTTTTCGGATAGGTCAGGGATATAGTATTGATTACTTTATCTTTCAATATTTCAAATACTTTTTGGTGTTCTTGTGTCTATTCGAATTTCTGATTTTTCTTTAATAAATTATATATTGGTCTTGCAATATCTCCAAATTTAGATATGAATCTTCTAAAATAATTCATTGATCCTGTAAATTGTTATACTCCTTTCTTATCAGTTGGTGGTTTGATTTTTTGTATTTCTTTAATTTTAACTTGATTTGGTGAGATCTTCTCATATGTTACTTTATAGTTTGGTATCATTATTTTCATTTTGATGAATTCACATTTTTTAGCCTTGAGGGTTAGGCCTGCTTTTTTGATGCGTTCAAATACTGTTTGAATATGTAAAATATGTTTATCATATATCTGACTTTCTATCATTAGGTCATCCATGTATACAAATACAAAATCTAAATCTTCTAATAATTTAAACATGTATCTCATCATAAATGCAAGTATATTGCTAATTCCTATTGAGCATCTTAGGAATCTAAATTTTACTACTCCTAGGAAGTATGCAGTACTTTTATCTCGATCACTTTCCTTTAAGAGAAATTGATAATAAGCACTTTTAAAATCACAGAGTGAGAATATTTTCTGTCTTGCTATTCGTTGGAGTATTACAGATATATTTGTTATTTTAAATAGATCTTTCTTAAGGTATCAGTTAAGCATAGTATAGTCTATTACTGCTCTATAGCTTTTATCAGGTTTTGGTACTATTACTAGCGGTGACATCCATTTAGCTCTTGATAGTTCTATTATATTTAAACTTATTAGTTCTTTGTATAATTTCTTTGATTGTTCTATTTGGTTTTCTGAGTAATTTCTTATTGGTCTACTTTTATGGTTCGAAGGTATTTTATTTTCTGATATATTTAATTCTAACTTGACTTCTCCAAGTCTTCCAAAATATTCTTTATTAAATACTGTTTCTTTTTTTTTCTTCATTCTAAATATATTCATATATTTAATGAATATTGGCTTAATATTTTTCTAAACCTTTCATTTGTATTTTTCAATAATACTTCAAGTTATTCTCTTTTGGTTATGTCCTTTTCTCCTATTTTCATATTATATCTATATTTGTTTGTTTTACAGAATTCTTTAATTTTGATGATATTATTTACTTTTTTTATATTTCCAATATGTTATCATTTTTGTGTATAGTTAATTATTTTGATTGTCCAATCATTGATTAATCCATTTTGTATATACATTTTTTCTTTTGCTATATGTAATAGCATCATCACTAGGTAATTTTCTTTTTTATCTATTTTAATTGCAGTCCATGTATTTGGTTGTAATATATAATTTTTCTTTGTTTTTAGGGGTTTTCCTGTTCCTAAAGTTGGTATTATAAGTCTTCTGTATTTATTAGGTATATGTTCTAATTCTTCATGTATTTTCAATTTAATTCCTTTTTAAATTCTATAGGTTTTGATTCTATATTTTTATCTCATATCTATACTCTACTCCTTTTTTTTTGCTACTAGTTGTCAGTGTAGCAGGTCTTGTTTGAACTGGTCTGAAATATGGTGAGTTTGAGTCTTCATCAATTCCTATTTCTACAGGATCTTTATTGTAGTTAGTTACTACTGACGGTCTTTTATTTTGCTGTTTTGATTGTTGTATTATTTTATATTCTTCATCTAATTTCTTTTTTTTCTTTTTCAAGTTTAGCTTTATAATCTTCTATTAATTATCTTTGTTATTTCTCAAAGGATATTTTCTGTTTTCTTTGGAATTCATCTTGTAGTTTTGTTATCTGTGTTATAGCTTGATTTTTCACTACATTTTTCTCTAGATCTTTATTATCTTTTCTAAATAGTCCTGTTACAATACCTATTCCTTTTGTTATAAAGATAGTATTGATGATGATTCAACTACTTTTGGTCTTTCTATCAGTTGCACTATTTTTAAATCACCTTTTCTTCTCAGGTATCTGTCTGCTTCTACTTCAAAGGTTTGGTTATATTTATCTTAATCATCTATTATTTCCTGTATCTTTGAATCTAATAGTTTTATACTTGGTATACTATCTGTATCTACAAATATTTGATTTTCTTCAGTTTCTCTCATTTGTCCCATTGTTATATTTCTTATTAATTGTTTATTATCTCTAGATGTTTCACTTTTGACTAATTTTTCGCTAGAGAAATCATTCATTGTATATTTCTATGATTTATTAGTTCTATATCTATAACTTCTTATTTGTTTTAAGATTTTTTGTGGTCTGGTTAATTGTTTATTTAATGGCTCAACAGATGAGCCTCTGGGCTTATTCTGCAAGGTTAATTTTTTATTAAATTCTTCAAAATCTCTTTGATATTCTTTATCTTCTAGTATGCTACTAGTATCACTATCTTTATCTATATTTTCATATATTTTGTCTGTTTTTTGTTCATTTTCTTTTTAAATCTCTTTTTGTTGTTCAGATTCTTTTACTAATTGTTCTAGTAAGTCTTCTTGATTTGTTATTCTTTTTGGTGATTTGTTTTCTGTATCTATTAAGCAAAAATCAAAGTATTTTTAATTTGCTTTTTCTTTAATTTTATTATCTTTTTCCATTTCGAATGTAGTTAACAAGGTCTGTATAATGGCTTGTTTATCGAATTCATCTAGTTTCTTAAAGTCTTCATTTTTTATTTTTAGTATCTTTTTAATATTCACTTGATATTTTTCTTCTTTGGCTCTAATTTATTGATCTTTTAGTTATCAGTTTTTGGTCATCATACCACATTAGGAAGTTGAACAATTGTTCTCTTTCAGTTTCTCTAAATTCTTTAACTTCTGTTGGTAATGTTAGTATGCTTTTTATTCATTTTATTATTTTATGCACTTCTTTGGAGTTTATTCTATTTATCTTATTGTATTCCGTTTCTATATCTAATATTTCTATCATTAATCTTTCTAGATCTTTAGATCTTTAGTAAATTCTTCAGTATTATTCTTATCTTTTTCTTTTCTTAATTCTTCAAGATTTCTTTTTGTTGTGTTTAACATTCCAGAGAATGTTGATATTACCAGTGTTTTAGGTATTTGTTTTGTTTTTATTTTGGTAAATCCTACTTTTGGTGATCATTTTTCTTTAACTCTATTTATTTCAGAGGCTATTCTTCCCATTTTCTCATTATGCTTCTTTTTTCTCGATGCTTCCTCTTGTGGATTTTGTGTCATTCTATCTTTAGGTTTCTATGGCTTGCATAATATTTTCTATTAGATCCTCTTTATATTTATATATTTCATCTAGTGATAAATCATTGAATTGTATTCACATTCTTGGGTCCTATTTATTTAAGTTCTTGATTCTTTGTTCTAAGTCTTTGTCGAGCTTTCTGTTTATTGGCAGTATGTTATTTGCATAATTTCTTAATATTCGTACTTTATTTATTTGTTCTTTTTTATCTAAGTTAGTTTTTCTGGGTGTTTACATTATACTTGCATGTATTTCTTTTACTGGGTTTCTAAATATTTCTTGTGGTAGCTGTCTGTTTAACAGGTGTTCGTGGATATCTTGTTCACTTCCAAATACCATTGCTTTTATTTCTATCATCTGGTAGCCTTAGTTTTTTGTTTTCTAGCACGAACTACATTATTTATATGTAGTAATCACATTTCTTTTCCATATTTCTTAATTACTTTGAGGTAGTTTCTTTCTGATCTAGCTGCGAAAAAGTGATATGCATCAAAGCACAGCCTTATCTGGTCTATTGCTTTACTGGTTTCATCTTTTTTATATCTTTCTTCTTTAGGGATACTTCTCTTTATTTTAAGCAACTCTTCAAAGGTTGCTCTGTAACTTTTATTTGATACAGAGTTTTTTAATAGTATTACCACATCCATAAAACAGGTATACTTACGGATGTGTCTTAAGTTTTTGATTATTTTTTTAGGATCTGAGTCATTTGTTGTTCCTATGTATAGTACATAGTTTCTAGCTCCTATATTATGTGCTCATTGTATTTTTTGTATAATTCTATTAGTTTTCTAATTTATTTCTCCTTGCTTATTAAGGAGGTTACTACTTATTGTTAATCCTATTAAAGTATATATAACTAGCTGCTTGTTTATTTTCTTGAATGATTTTTATATCATTCTGTGTGTCTAGCAATCCTCTTTGTAGGGTCACAAAATTGCCATAAGCCTCATTTTTGAATTCTTCTTTTTAAATATATACTGTATAAAGGTTTGGATAATATTTGCTTCTATTTTTATAATTGCTTATACTATTTCATTTCATTGTCTATCTGTTGTTATTCCTATTAATTTTTTTCTCTTTTTATTTTGTTCATATATTTTTAAGAATATTTGTAGGATATTTTTATCTACAAATCTTTTTGTAATTGGTTGGTATTTTGGTTGTTTTTTGTTAAACTGTTCTCTAGTTATATAGTTAATTTCTTGTGATATTTTAACAGGTAGTCTTTTAAATATCTTTTTTTTTACAAGTTTCAGGGTGCTCTTTTCTCTTTTTTGTTTAGGGTATTTATACTCCTTTTTATGAATAAGTGTAGTTTTGTCATTAGTTTCATTGGTCTTTATATTCCTTTTCTCT